TTCAAGCTCCTTACTTGTGGAACAAAAATAATCATTCTTTTTTATTGCTTAGTAACATTCTGTTGTACAGATATACTATAATTTGTTTATCCATTCACCTATAACGTTTGGTTTATTTCCAGGTTTGTTGCTATTATCCATAAATTTCTATAAACATTCATATACAAATTTTTAAAGATTTATTTGTTTATTTGAGGAGGGGAGAGGCAGAGAGAGGGAATCTCCAAGGAGACTCCCCACTGAGCTTGGAGCCCAACTTAGGGTGCAGGGAGCTTGATCTCACAACCCATGAGATCATGACCTGAGCCAAAACCAAAAGTCGGACACTCAACTGACTTGAGCCACCCAGGCACCCCTCATATATAAGGTTTTAGATGAGCATATGCTTTCATTCCTCTTTTAAAAAATATCTGGGAGCAGAAGACTGGATTATACTGTAGATATGTATTTTTACAATTTTAAGCATCTGCCAATCCTATTGCTGCTGTAACAACTTACCACAAACTGAGTGTCTTACCACAACATAGATTTATCTATTGCATATCTAGAGGCCAAAAGTCTAAAATTAGGTTGTCCAAGGGGCTGTGTTCCATCTGGAGGCTCTAGAAGAGAATCCACTGCTTTCCTTTTTTTTTTTTTTAAAGCTTCTAGGCTTCCTGCATTCTGGCTCCTGCCCTCTTGCTCAAGACACTCTTGACCGCTTTAATCTTATCTCATGCTATTGACTCTGATCCTCCTGCCTTCCTCTTAAAAAGATCCTTTGATTACAGTGATCCCACCTGAATGATCCAGAGGACTCTCCTGAATCTCTACAGTCTTGCAATTAATACCATCTGCAAAGTCCCTTTTACCTTATAAAGTAATATATTCACAGGGTCCACAGGTTCCAGGGGTTAGAATGTGAACATCTTTGAAGGGCCATTATTCAACCTACCACATTGTCATCCAAGGAGATTGTACCATTTTATATTCCCATCAGTAGTGTAAAGAGTACTACTTCCTCCACATCCTAACACTTAATAGTCATTTTAATTTATTTTTCTCAAATAATGTACAGTGTTAGATATGTTTTCATGTACTTTTTTGCTTTCTATATTTTTAGGTAAAGTGTCAGTTCAACTATTTTCCCCATTTATTTATTGGGCTTTGTGCCTTTTGATTTTTGGGATTTTGAGCATTCTTTGTATATTCTACATGTAAGTCTATAATCAAATATGATTTGCGATCTGTTATTCAACATTTCTGGCTTGTCTTTTTTTTCTTAAAATATATTTTAGGCATATCTTAATGATCTTAAATCAGTATTAAATAATGCATTTTACAGTGTTCAAACTCATCAAGTTGTGTATGTTAAACATGTATAACTTTGTATCTCAATCATATCTCAAATAAAGTAGTTTAAGAATAAAAATATAGCAACAAAATATGAAAATATTAGGGTTATATTTCACAAAAAGTGAGCAATATTTGTGTACTGAAATCTATAAAACATTATTGAGATGAACTCATCAACATAGAGATATACAGGGTTTATAGGTCAGAAGAATCAATGTTGCCAGGACCCCAAGATCATGACCTTAGCCAAGGCAGACTTTTAACTGTTTAACTGACTGAGCCACCCAGGCTCCCTGAGGTAATTACAAAATTTAAATATAAAAGGCAAAACACCTAAAATAACAACACACACACACACACACACACACACACACACACACACACACATTAAAAGAGGAGCAAAGTTGAAGGACTAACATTATCTGATTTCAGGACTTATAAATTCCAGTAATCTGGGTGGCTCAGTCCGTTGAGCGTCTGCCTTGGGATCAGGTCATGATCCCAGGTCTTGCATTAGGCTCCCTGCTCAGTGGGGAGCCTGCTTCTCCCTCTCCCTCTGCTGCTCCCCCTGCTTGTGCAGGCACTCTCTCTCTCAGATAAATAAATAAAATCTTTAAAAAAATAATAAATTACAGTAACCAAGACAGTGTGCTATTGGTATAAATATGGACAAATAGATGAATGTAGTAAACTAGAGAGCCTAAAAATAGACCCACACATACATATGTAGACAAACTGATTTTTGACTAAAGCACAAAGTGGAGAAAGAATGGACTTTTCAACAAATGGAGCTTGGACGACTGAATATTCATAAGCAAAACAAAAAACTTCAATTCATATCTCACATCATATACAAAACTTGATTTAAGTTGGATCATAGACCTAAATGTAACAACTAAGACTATAAAACTTTGAAAAGAAAACATATTTTTAAAATTTTATTGTTGTGTTAATCACCATACATTACATCATTAGTTTTTGATGTAGTGTTCCATGATTTATTGTTTGGGTATAACACCCAGTGCTCCATGCAGAACGTGCCCTCTTTAATACCCATCACCAGGCTAACCAAAACATAAGAGATAAAATTTCTTGACCATCAGATAGGCAAAGATTTTAGATATGGGACCAAAAGCCCAAGGTACTAAAGAAAAAAAAATCATAAATCAAAATAATCAAAATTAAAAACTTTTGCTTTTTAAAATTTTACTTAATCTTGTCATTGTTTGCAGTGGTTTTATCAAATAATATTTATGTAAACTATATTTTAAACATATTTTAATGATATTAAATCAGTATTAAATAATGCATTTTACAATAGACCCTTCAGGTAACTTATCATTAAATAATAGAAACTAGACCAATGATGAAAAAATAAAGATCCCGTGCACATGTGGAGCTCCAGTTCTTTACCAACAACTCTTATAGGTAGCATCTCCCCTACTCTTTCCCCAAATATTGGTCCTTACACTTTTATTTATTTATTTATTTATTTATTTATTTTTAATTTTATTTATTTATTTGAGAGACAGAGAGAATGAGAGAGAAAGCACATGAGATGGGGGGAGGGTCAGAGGGAGAAGCAGACTCCCTGGTGAGCAGGGAGCCCGATGCGGGACTTGATCCCGGGACTCCAGGATCATGACCTGAGCCGAAGGCAGTCGCTTAACCAACTGAGCCACCCAGGCGCCCGGTCCTTACACTTTTAAAATTATAGATAATGTTATAATTGCATTAAAAATGATCACCAATATATCATATAGGTGTTGAAATATATTTTTAAAATAAAAAAAGAGAGATGAAAATGACTGTTCCTTCAATAAATGTTAAAGCTTTTACAGAAAAGAGCAGATACTCATGAATGACATACTTTCTTCTAACTCTTAGGAACAGTGTGCGTGTCTGGAGAATACCATCCGTCATGCCCCGTTACATAAAAAGACAAGATACTGTTTTGGTAAATGTTCCTATTACTTAGAATCCAATCAATTTAAGTTTCTGTAAAGTCAGTGCTTTGTAATGTGAAATCATTTTATGTATCAGATAATTTCTATACTCAAAGTATAGCATTACATGACGTTGTTTTTTTAATACAGTTTACATGTGTCATGTTGAATGCTGTTGAGAGCTCCACTGTCATTTAATACACTCAAATACTGCTTTCCCATTAATCTTATTTGTAAAGCATGTTTGCATTAACCTTTAAATCTTCTTAATGAAACAAAACCAAAAACAGTAAGCAGACTGCTTACAGATCGTTGTGGATGAAAGCATAAATGTCAGTGTCAATGCTGGAGTACTTAGACTGCATTGCCATTATAGAGGAGAGGAATTCAATCCTTTTGGCTCCCAAACCACTTTTTTATAACAAGTATTTTATCAGATTCTGAAATAAAATCCATGCCTAACAGAAAACAAACAAACAAAGACAATCTACAGGGAAGATTTTAAAATAAAAATAATATTGTTAGGATTGGCAATAATATAAATGAAGAATAAAATAATTGTGATTTCAAAATATGTATTTCCATACATAAATGTTGAGGCATAACTATATAGAAAAGGGGATGGTGGGTGCCTGGGTGGCTCAGTTGGTTAAGCGACTGCCTTCGGCCCAGATCATGATCCTGGAGTCCCAGGATCGAGTCCAGCATCGGGCTCCCTGCTGAGCAGGGAGTCTGCTTCTCCCTCTGACCCTCCCCTCTCTCATGCTCTATCTCATTCTTTCTCAAATAAATAAATAAATAAAATATTTTAAAAAAAAGAAAAAGAAAAGGGGATGGTACTCAGATTTTTGAATCAACTTCCAGGGTATTCATTCGTTCAGTTAAATGTTTATTGATCATCTGTGTGCAAGAGCCTGTTGAAGACATTTATTACAGTAGCAAAACAGCAGGGAGACTGATATATCCCCATAAATAAATAAAGCACTTGTAGTATATTCGTACATATGGAATATGAGGGGAGGTTTCAAGAAAGACCTGAAGGAAGCAGGAAACAGAGAAACACGCTAGCAAAATAAAACCAAATAAAATCACATGTCCCTGCCCCCCACCCCTCCACTCTCTCCCTCTCCCCAGTCTAAACAATAAATAATTACATAAAAAAACATTTAAACATCCTTGCAGCGCACAACAGATACATGTTTTCTATAGTTTAAGTCACTATTTTGTTTTCAGTGTTTTCATATATGTTGTTACTCTGAAAAAATTGACATGCAAAATTAACTACATCTCCACTTTATGTACATGTTATAATTCTTGAACACTGTTATGACAAAAGAAAAAATAAATGAAAGCATAATATGTCCCTTCCTTAGAATTTGTTTGAAAGAAGTTATTTAGCATTATCTTTTCATAAACTTAGACATGTTACTAGACAAGCAATGTCTCCCAAAACTACTCATTATTTTATATAAAAGAGGGAAAGTAAATATTTTGGTTGCTATTACTTAATCTTTATCACTTTAAGTTTAAAGTGACAGATAAGATTCAAAATTTGTCCACTGACTTTTTTTTTTATTTGTTTGTTTGTTTGAAGCTTTTGGAAACATGTCCAACACGTTGATGAGATGTTGGAAACCAGTTGAAACGCAGTAAAATTCAACCCAGTAAAATAAGACTGCTTTCTTTTCATCCACGTTGGAAATTTTCAAGAAGTGAACTATGACAATATATCAACTTTTGGTACTGTTTCCACTCTGGATCTGCCTGCCACATTTCTGTTCTCCAGAGATAATGTTCAGAAGGACTCCCACACCCCAGAAAAGAATTTTAGGTGCACGAGTACCTAGGAGTGATGGCAAAATTCTGCATCGTCAAAAACGTGGTTGGATGTGGAATCAGTTTTTCTTACTGGAAGAATATACAGGATCTGATTATCAATACGTGGGCAAGGTGAGTCTACATTGAAATGGCAAATACCTACCTTCTTTCCTTGTATGTTTTAGGAAAATTTGAAGATTTTTAAGATCATCGTTCTAAGAAATTTGATTCTCTAAATATCCCTAAATCAATTATTGTTTATGGAATACAGATTATATTTTTGAAAAACTGTGGAATACATAAATCCAGCATGATAAAAGTAGAAATTGAATTTGCGAGAATTAATTCTGTCCATTTCCTTATGGACTAAAGAAGTACTAGAAATTGCACTGTTAGAATTTGTAGTTAGAAATCAATGATAGAAAACTGTATGTCAAGATAGCCATTTAAAATGACTACATATATAGTGCACATTGCTCTTGATTTCAGTAAGGAAGGAAAGACAATTAAAGGTTGTTTAATGTTCTACAGAATGAAAAAGCAAATGTCATTAAAAGTATGACCTAAGGCCCCCCAAAATAGCTTTTTTTTTTTTTAAGAAAACTTATTCCAGATATGGGTGTTATTTGTTTTTCTTAAGTGTCACTATGGGCACATTTATATAAAGGAAAAATAAACAGAAGACAAGCAGGTAGAAGTAGTTTACTTATTTGCCATATATGCACAGAGACAAGTTTTCGTCCTATTTGATTATAAATTTAGTGAGAAAAATTAGTTGTGGTTGGGAGTAGAATGAAAAATAACAATGAATACTTCTATATACTACATGGTATTCATTTTCGGTTTTCTTTTTTAGCACTATCTGAATGTACTAGAAGTTAGATAAGTCTTAAGAAAGAATTCATGTTCATGGTCATGGTTACTTTTATGGACAATATGAAAACATATCAAAGAAAACAGAGAAATACACTAGCAAAAAAAATAAATATAATCACATGTTAATACATCATTTGTTAATACTGTAAAATTATGATACATTACCGTGATGGAGAATTTTGTGTTAACCTGAACTTTAATAGCTTTGTTCAAATGATTAAAATTGTGCTAAAACTTTTCATCCTCTAAGAAAAACTATTTTTAAAACAATTCTTTGGAAGTATTTTTTCATTGATTTTAAAACACTTGGATATGTTTTTTCATGTTCCAATTATTTCAGTCCTTTTTAAATGTCTGGCAGTATGACAAAGATGACAATAAAGGTTAAATGTTATGTTGACTAGAAGGAGAAGGAAAAGCAACAGCAATCTGAGCAAGCTTATGAGAAAGCACATTATAGCCAGACTTATCACAGGTCTCATCTGACGGATGCCTCAGATCAGAGGGTTAACGTAAATTTTATGGTTGCTGTGACAGGCAACTTTTCGTTTATGAACGCAAGCATGTGAAAATGTAATAACAGAAATCTAGACCAAAGAAACTATAATAGGTTGCTTTGGTTCTTCCTGAACTAGCACTTATTTGACTTATTTGCATGTGTTTTCTATCATCTAGTGCATTTTAATGAGGATTTAGTAAGTGCTGAAAAATTACCATTACATTATATACTCTCATATGATAATCAAGTGACTTCTTATGTACTTTTATTTGTTCTCTCCCAGAAGAATGTCAACACCTTGAGATCAAAGACCTTTACTTCATACTTCACTTTGTCTCTAGCTCTCTGAGTAGGGCTTAATATTTAGTTGGTTGAATTGACCTGCATTGCACTGAGTTGAATTCCCAGAATCATCTGGTCCTACTTGGCTCTTTGGTGGGGAAAACTAGTCTAGAATTTAAATCCCTATGGGCAATTAAAGCTGATAAATACTTGAGATATATGCATCTTGATACCTAACCCAAATTTTATTCTTCCTTACTCTGCTTGATAAAAGCAAATTAAAAACCTTATTTAGATGTAAACATACAGATCTGTATATGTCAAAAAGGCAATGTGCAATATTTTAATAAACATACATTAAGATGAGTATAAAAATTTCAAATCCCCTAAATATTCTTTCCAATAGTACTTACGATAAATTTATTATATATTCATCCTTTCCTTAGGAAATTTCACTTCTGGTTTTACTACCTTTAAAGTAGGAATGTTATACTGATGCTAAGTGATTCAATGTCTCTAGGTTAGTTTAGATGTAGTAGTAATACATGTTCTAATTACTTGACATATGGGAAGATGATAGACACCCCATTGTGGTGGGAAATACTTGGGGAACTTAGAATAAGAACAGAGAAGAGAGAATCATACTGATGGTGTGAGGACAAGACTGAAAGTACATGTGTGAAGAGGGAGGACATTTTTTTTTTTTAATACTAAACTATTTGGGGCCCCTGGGTGGCTCAGTCAGTTAAATGTCTGCCTTTGGCTCAGGCTCAGGTCATGATCTCAGGGTCCTGGGATCTAGCCCCACATCAGGCTCCCTGCAGGGAGCCTGCTTCTCCCTCTCCCACTCCCCCTGCTTGCAGGTGCGCACTCTCTCTCTGTCAAATATATAAGTAATCTTTAAAAAAAATTAAATACTAAACAATTTGCCAAACAAATTCAATAAAGAATGGATGGCATATAATTTCTCAGATAAAAGCCCAGTACTACTTAAGAGGTTAAAACAGGGAGAAAAACCAATTGCTTCTCATTGGGTAAAAGCAAAGGGAAGCTTAGGAAAACATATAACCAACAATCAGAGGAGCTAGAATATAACCTTGTTTCTACCACTGTTTGTCTCAGAGTTATTAAGAAACCAAGCCAACCAAAAATGAACTCAAAGCATTTCTTTGTTCAGCTCTCAATGATCAAAATTTTCTCTACATCATTCAATCAAATACATTCTAAACCGAAATATATTTGTTGTAAGTTCTTTTTTTTTTCCTTCTCGGTGAGATAATCACAAAATTGACTTTACCTTCCATAGCAAGGGGTTTAAAACTTGAACTTCAAGTAATCTAATTCTGTACTATGTTGCTTTCCTTTTGCAACCTTCTATAGTTGTATTACAGTTTTCCAATTTAAGATTTGAGAAACATTGTGATTATAAACTATTTTTATTAGTTTAAGCACAACTTTTAATCACAGTTTCTTGCTGCCTAATTCAGTTGCCCTGGACAAATAATTTTGAATCTCTAGGTTTCAAATATTCAAATAAAATAAATAATGATATTAAACTAGATACTCTTGAATTTACTTTAAGCTGTAACAGAAAGACAGTTCTAAGAGAAATACAAATTTTATTTACTGCAAAAATTTTGTCTGCATTTTATATAATTATTCCCAAGTGGAGAAGAGCATGTTAAAATTAGATTTTTAATCAAAACCAGATACTGAGAAAAGTCCCCAAACACCAAAAATTTAATAATGTACTTGGGTAACAATAAACCTGATTCTGAGTCAGCATAGTAAGACAATTCACTCCAGGAAGTTAAAACTTAAAAATAGTTAGGGTAACTCTCTATATTTCTTGATATAATGAAAACAACCGGATGGTGGCAGGTAAGGGGGATGCTACTGGCATCTAGTTGGCAGAATCCAAGGATACTGCTAAAAATCCTATAGTGTGCAGGACAGACTTTTGTAGAATTTTCTGGTTCGTAAGTGTAAATAGTGCCAAGACAGAGAAATCCTGCCCTAATTTGCCAGTCCCATTTACATTTTCCCAAACAGTTCAATTTTTACTTTAGTTATATCTGGGTTCCTGCTTTTGAATCTGCTCTCAGTTATAATTTTATTTCTCCCTTGCAGAGTTGCCATGACTGTTTGCTTTTTGAAACTTAGATTTCTTTCAAGGTCTCCTCTCCTTCATGTCCTCTCTAATCCTTAAGGCATACATTTGGCTCCAGCCTCTTGATCATCATTCTTTGTAGACTTGGGCTCCACAAAGCTACTAGGAATGAAGTATACATTCATTTTTTCAGTAACTATCTAGAAGGTGTACTACTCAGGTACTACTACTCTGTTATTAAGTATACGGTGGCAAAAATATAATTTCTCTGCTCACAAAGTATCTGCCTTTAATAGAAGGGAAAATAATAAAGCTAACAGCAAGTTATGGGCTCTTTTAATCTCTGATAGAGCACAGAACCCAAAAGCCAAGAATAGAAAAATAAGTGCCAAATATCCCCATGTTCTATCTCTACAGTACTTGTAACTAAAGTGGAAATAAAACAGTTTTGGGATTTACATGACATAAATCAATGTTATTAAAAGTTGAGATTGGAGAGTCGAGGTATGTACTTTTATTTTTTATTTATCTGTTTATTTCTTTGGAGGTCTTTTGATGTACAATGCCTCAATAAAGGTGCTCACTGCAGATTTCTAGAAGAGAAATCTTCCAAAAACTGAAAAAAAATGTGATCCATGAAAGAATAACTCAACTTTAAACAGAATACCAGAAATGCCAAGTATGCCCACCATATTAGACCATGTTCCTTATTGCCATATGGTTACAATCAAGTCAAACCTAGTTACAATGGAGATAGAGTAGTTGGAACTAGGCTAGAGATAAGAAGCTGCCCCAACCTCCCCACTGCAGTCTTCCTGGGGTGAACAGATCTGAATCGAGTATGTGGAGAAACTTACACTACATAAGAGTTCAGGGAATTGCAAACATTTTAATGGACATTGAATGTTCTCTTCAGATAGTTGGATATTTTGATAACTGTAATGATATTGTTCTTGAAACTAAAAATTCCAGGTGACTATATATATTTTTTTAAATCCAAACAGGACCAAAAAGACCTACATTAAAAAACAAAAACGACAACAGAAAATTGTTTAGCTGTTCAATATATATAGACCTGATTTTAATGGTGGTATACAGTTCTTTTCTATTTGGACCTTATTAATTGAAGTCCTGGAAGAAAATAAATCAGGATGATTTGATAAACATTGGGAGAGATTCCTTTAGATTAGATGGTTATAGACCGTCCTGATGAAGGGACGCTTGGACTTTTGGATGAACAGAGGCATTATTTCCCTGATACATAAAGACTACAAAATAAAGCAAATATGCATTAGAGTTTCTAAGAACTTTTTATACTAATCCTCAAGCAAGGGGTAATAAAAACATTTTTATTTATTTATTTTT